CTTTCCGCCTTTCTATCAGCAGCAACATGCCACCATGGACCATTTCAGCCGAGCTGGAGGAAACACTGGATGTGGAAGTGTTACCACAGTAATACTCCTACATCCACTCTCTCTGTTAGTATCTCTAACAGAAAGGGGGCAAATAAGAAAACTAACATTATTAATAAAAACCTGAAGCCTACAATTGTGTACTAAAATATACATGTCCACAAAATGAACTGTCCTGCCATTTCATACAGGTTGGACTAATTATTACAGGTAATGTTTAGTTGAATAAAATTATTTGATTACTTCTGCAAGTGTACTATGTTTTTGTAAATGTGTTCTCTGAATATATTGGAATGTGGTATCTTGTGTAAATATCATTGCAATTACTAATACATAAAACTACTTCATATGCGAACTTAAGTTCAAGCAGAGGAAGACATCCTGTGTAAACTTCATCATCCTCAGGAAACTCACGCCACTGCACAGGAGGAGAAAACCACACACATGTGCTGACCTCAATACCCCCAGCACCACCTCACAAAGTTGCGGTCTGTTGGATGTCTGTACCAACTGTAAATAACCCAATTAATCTAAATTTAGTTTGGAATAAGGACGTTATGATTAGCACATTCATTGATAGCATTCAAAGTACGTGTAGGTAACCTGATGGACGGATTAGGTGAGGATTCTTGCATACAGCTGCTGATAAGTGCCATAAACAGCTTGCAGAACGTAAGGATTTAGGGCTACTGCACTGGTCATATCTGTGAACAACCTATTTGGTACAATGCTGGCAATTCTAGAGAATGCTAAGTTAACTGGCTTAGGCAACAAAGGTTCGGTTAGCTTTTTTTTCCATTACCTTTTAACAAACTCGGCCACCTCTCTACTGCAAATGTTCTCATCAGGTGAGAGATTTGTACAGTGCCCACAAGTGCACCTGTATAGAAAGAAATGATACCTAATGGCCTAATAGAAGTGTGTTTTTCATAGTTTAATGAAACCTCCATTTTATTCTTTTGGAATTCAGTACATGTAAGAAATCAGGACACTGGTTCATCAAATATGGACCTGCTAGCTGTCACGGTGTTAGTGAATGTTCTACCGTTTTGCCTCCTCTCCTGCTCTACGTTGACCATTTTCTGGCAGGCTAGCATAAGCGGCTTGAGTCAGTGGCTCACACTGGTAGTGGAGAAAAATCTTCAACCTCATAACACTCTCAGTTGCAAAAGTGCCATTTGATTCTGTCGCTCTCCATATTTTCTGGTAGCTAACGTACATACGTTAGCTCTAAAAACACAGCAGCCCAACCCACCTCCCAGCCCCACCTCCAAACCTGAACATCACTGCAGAGCCCCTCTCATTTTTGAGTTGAGCCAGAGGTGGATTTAGCTGAAAATAGTGGGGTGTAGTTACTCTTTAATCAGTAAATGTTAAGAGAAAAACTGAGTTGCCACTGTCAGTAACTGCCAACTTACATGGTCATGTCTGATATGTTCTTAAAATTTACAGGAACACACTCTTCATCCTCCTCAACACATGGTGCATGAAGGTCTGTGTATTTACTGTAGGGAAATGACAGATCCTTAAAGGCTGTTTTACCCATTTTACACTAAAACATGCTTTTTCAAGTGATTTACATCTTAAGTACATCCCTGCTTTTTCAAAGTTAACTATTCTACAGATATTTTAGAAACAACTTACTCATTTCTTTTCCATCTAGTCTAAATTTCTATAATCTAAATTTGTATGACGTAAATCATCACATTTTATGTTTTTTTTGGCTTACCTGTAGCAAGTAGACTTGGCCAGGTTGTATCCAGGTGGATCCTGATTATCCTCAGAATCAGACAGTACTATCTGAAAAATAAAGTGGTGCAAAGGAACTAATGTCCAACACAACACAAAACTGAAAGCAAAAAAAATTAGGTAACATCTGCTTCACTAACCGTCCAGGATTTGTTGTAAAAGGATGTCCTACTGCATCTTTGAAACATGTTAAAATGACTAACAAAGTGCAACAGGGTATTACAGAAATACTGAGATAAAAACTCTTGTCTGAAAAAAAAGTACAGTTACATGTGCAAAGTTGAAAGAAAAATGAAAGTTTTACCAGCTTACAGACAAATCATCCCTTTGACATTAGAAGGCACTTACCATGTTTGGAGCAGTTTTGAGATATTGAGCTTCAAAAATTTTGCCAAAAAGCAAAAAACGAATATGTTTGACAGGTCTCTTTCATTCATGAACACCCTAAATTTATTCTAAATGTACAATATCAAAACCTTATAAAATGTGTAAATGAGTTATTGGAACAGGCCAAATGCAGACAGAACCATCTAATCCTAAGGACTCACTTTCTGCTTGGAATTATATGGTTTTATCTGGCAAAACGTGAAAAGAAGCAACAATTTTAAGGAGCACAAACAGTTTATACTGTTATTTGTTTTAAAACATGAAATTAGTGTAATAGAGTGTCCACATTATCAGAAAGTTCAATTTAATGCTTTCTATTACATAGAAATATGACCTTTATTTGTATTATTTATGTAGTTTTATGATGGTTATTTCTTGTTTTAGGACAAATCATCTTTTTCAAAAGGTCAGTTTACAGCTACTGTAATAAACTGTCCCAACAGGTCAGTCTAGCCAATCAGTATAAAAGCAGTATGAGGTTTTGCTTTATATCAGACATTTCGACTCTAATGCACCAAAATGTCTTATTTTGGGAGAAAGGAGAAAAAAAAGATGGATGAATGAATGAAATAAATGTTTATGATGTAATTAAGCCAATCAATTCAAATGTTCACTATTTTATTACCTTTAAGGCTTAACATTTATAAAATTTAAGACAATATGACTTCTTAAAGAGCTGTAAGAAGACAGGCAGAGTTTCAGCAACATGTTTTCATGTTTCATAAAGTTTTATAAACTTTTCCTGCAGTCACTGAGCAGAGCGGCGATATGACAAAGAAGCAGAACCTGATTGGTCCTCTTGTGTGTATTCAAAGTGCTGACTGGCTCACAAATTATGCTATACCTTATAGAACTAAGTTTTTTGTTTTCTAGATAAAAAGTCCAAAAATGCACCTAGCTTAAAAAAAACACCATACATAATGTTTGAAGTTGTCACAGAATATGAATATGTGAATATCTCAATTTTGACAAAAATGTCAGATAGAACCGTATAAGTCCACGGGGACGAAATGACTTAAATTTACATGTTAGCACTTAACTTTATCCTCTGGTTTGTTTGGGCATACTTTGGTTCTGGGGTTTAAAAACCCGAGGGTAAAAACACAATATTCAATACATTTATATATAGCCTGTATTATTCTTCCTTTATGACAGATATACCAACCAGCCAGCTCATTAAAACCACCTCCTTGTATCTCCACTTTTTGTCCATTTTAGCAGCTCCACTGACCATATAGAGGCACCTTGTAGTTCTATAGTTACAGACTGTAGTCCATCTGTTTCTCTGCATACTTTGTTAGGCCCCTTTTACCCTGTTTTTCAGTGGTCAGGACCCTCAGTGCCAGTGTCACTGCAGCACTGATAATGACCACCACCCAAACAATACTGTCTGGGTGGTCTGTAGCTGTTCTGACCGTTGAACAGAGCAAAAGGGGGCTAAAAAGATGGACTACAGTCTGTGATTGTGGAAGTACAAACTGCTATATGTATATATATATATATATATGTACACACTATATTGCCAAAAGTATTTGCTCGTCTGCCTTCACACGCATATGAACTTGAGTGACATCCCATTCTTAAACCATAGGGTTTAATATGATGTCGGCCCACCCTTTGCAGCTATAACAGCTTCAACTCTTCTGGGAAGGCTTTCCACAAGGTTTAGGAGTGTTTATGGGAATTTTTGACCATTCTTCCAGAAGCTCATTTGTGAGGTCAGACACTGATGTTGGACGAGAAGGCCTGGCTCGCAGTCTCCGCTCTAATTCATCCCAAAGGTGTTCTATAGGGTTGAGGTCAGGACTCTGTGCAGGCCAGTCAAGTTCTTCCACACCAAACTCGCTCATCCATGTCTTTATGGACCTTGCTTTGTGCACTGGTGCGGTCATGTTGGAACAGGAAGGGGCCATCCCCAAACTGTTCCCACAAAGTTTGGAACTAAGGGGCCGAGCCCAACTCCTGAAAAACAACCCCATACCATAATCCCCCCTCCACCAAACTTTACACTCGGCACAATGCAGTCAGACAAGTACCGTTCTCCTGGCAACCGCCAAACCCAGACTCGTCCATTAGATTGCCAGACGGAGAAGCGTGATTCGTCACTCCAGAGAACACGTCTCCACTGCTCTAGAGTCCAGTGGCGGCGCTTTACACCACTGCATTCGATGCTTTGCATTGCGCTTGCATTGCACTATGCGCCTCGGCATCCGCTGACCCCGCTCTGTCGTTTTACGTGGCCGACCACTTCGTGGCTGAGTTGCTGTCGCTCCCAATCGCTTCCACTTTGTTATAATACCACTGACAGTTGACTGTGGAATATTTAGTAGCGAGGAAATTTCACGACTGGAATTGTTTCACGGGTGGCATCCGATCACGGTACCACGCTGGAATTCACTGAGCTCCAGAGAGCGACCCATTCTTTCACAAACGTTTGTAGAAGCAGTCTGGATGCCTACGTGATTGGTTTTATACACCTGTGGCCATGGAAGCATTAAGCATTATTATAGCAGCATTATGCACAGATTCAATGTAACCCTTCAAGTTCGTTATCTCACTACTGTGTCCACCTGATTGAATTCAGTTCTGCTCCTAGTTGTGAAGACAACTTTAGAATCTGAGTCTGATTCTGAGCTAATATCCACCACAGCTAAAAGAAACAAAATCAAAATCAACACTTTAAGTATGTCATAGTAGTTTAAAATATGATGTGTAAAAAAAAAAAGTCAGATCCACAAACCTCTTTTTATACTCAGCCAATATGAATTGCCTCTCTATCCCAGGCACATGGACCACCTCTGTCATGCAGAGTTTTCTGTGATGTTTACAGTCAGACTCTCAGTTACAGTTGTTTCCTTTGACGAGGAAGAAAGTTCCAGCAGCGACTCCCAGCAGTCCTGCAGCCAGACGCGCTATACAGAACACAGACAGACCCACACTGGGCAGAACCACCTGCACATCTGTACAACACACACACACGCACAAACACACACACACAGATAAAAGCCTGCATTTTCTAACAGTTCATACATATTATTTACTGTGAAATGTATAATGCTAGGCGGCATGGTGGCGCAGTGGGTAGCGCTGTTGCCTCACAGCAAGAATGGCCTGGGTTTCGATTCCCGGCCAGGCGACCAGGGTTATTTCTGTGTGGAGTTTGCATGTTCTCCCCGTGTCTGCGTGGGTTTCCTCCAGGTACTCCGGTTTCCTCCCACGGTCCAAAGACATGCAGTCAGGCTGATTGGACATGGTAAATTGCCCCTAGGTGTTTGAGTGTGTGTGTGTGAATGTGTATGTCTGCCCTGCGATGGACTGGTGACCTGTCCAGGGTGTATCCTGCCTTCCGCCCAATGACAGCTGGGATAGGCTCCAGCACCCCACCGCGACCCAGAAGGATAAGCGGTTTAGATGATGTGTGTGTGTGTGTGTATAATGCTTAATATTATTATTATAGTTTTAATTTTATGTGCATAGTTCATTTGTCCTGGAAAAGTTCCAGTGTTCAATCTTACTATCAGGTGGTACTTTTATATGACTATAAGCAGCCATTCACTGTTGCACTCCTGGAGCCATTAATAAATCCATTAACAGGATCAGGTCAATCAGCAGGTATAAACTCACCCCATGTTTTGGTCAGTGGTCTGTCCAGGGCCATGTGCTCCACAGTGCAGGTGTAGATGTCGCCCTCCTCTGGAATGAAGCTCAAGGTGGAGACCAGATTAAAAGCTCCATCATCGGTAGCATAATGTCTGCTAAGAGTAGCTTCTCCAGTCACGTTGACGTTGTTCTTAGTCCATGACACTCCACTCTGTGAGGGGTAGAATCCAGTAAGGTGACAGATGAGTGTGTTTCTAGAGCCCAGCTCCACATCGTCCTTGGAGTAGATTGAAGTTTGGGGGGCCACTGTGGATGAAGTAGTTCATGTTGTATTCATCAACATTTAGACATCAGCAAAAATGGAATAGAATTTAGAAAAAAAATACTAATAAATAAAAACCATGTCTAACAAAACATCCTTACAATACAATAAAACACTTAATTTTGAAATGAAATGTATATGCCCCTTTTTAAATGACTTTTTTTGCTGTTTGATACTTAAAAGAGTTTCCGTAATATATTTGTACATTTTTTTGTCCCCAGAACTCTCAATTCAGACTAATTATACAAGGATTTTTTTAAAATATTTATGATATATTAAAAAGTTTACTTATTTACATATAGTCCCTCTTCTAAGTTCCATTTATTTGTAATTAAGTTTTGTGCTGCAGTGATGCTCATGTCTTACCTTTTGGCTCTGCAGGGTAATTATAAGCTTTTACATAAACATCCAAGTTATTTTTGCAAGATTGTAAACAGTGTTCTCATAGGCTCCTTCTGAACTGGACGAAGGATTTGCAAACTCTGGCATTGTGATCACTATTTTCCCCTGACTGAAGTCAGCGTGGCTCCTCTCTTCTCCATCAAGTCCATACTTATCAGAGCACAGAGTTATTTGGAGGTCCCTGTGCTCAACTGGGGGGGGGCTGGGGTACTGCATGAAATTACATTTATTTCATGCAGTTCAGTAACTGCATGAAATAAATGTAAATTTTTATTTTTTTTTGGCAAAAGCTTCCCTCAAATTAACAGAACATGTGTTTATGATCACACATATTGCTATATGCTTACAATTTACTGCTGAAAGCCAAAAATCTTAGACGCTCTTTGTATTATTTTATTAAAATAATGTTTACAGAGCAGATCACTGAAGAGACGCCATCTGTTTATAGTTTATAGCCCAGATTTGTGGAAAAATGGGTCGACTTTCAGTAGAAAAAAAAATCAGAGTTCAGCTTCTTTTATTATAAGGGTCTAAAATTTCATCACCCATCTATTTGACTGGAAAGAAGACAGTTACAGCTCTCATACGACCCCCACCTTTTGAATGTAGCTTATGAAATATGACAGTTATGAAGAATATGACGCAGTGCATTTTAGAACCACCGGTGATCTCAAGGAATTGAAGAGGTTAACCCTTTATTGACAGGCAAAACAAAAATTCTGACTGTTAAACTCTTTCAGATTTTTTTTTTCTTTTTTACGAAGACAACATATCAAATGTTGAAACTGAGACATTTTATTGTTTTATATGCCCATTTTGAATTTGAACATCATGTCCCAAAAAAGTTGGGATTGGGCATGTTTACCACTGTGTTTCATCACCTCTTCTTTAACAAACACTATAAGCGTTTTGGAACTGTTACACTATAAGCGTTTTTGGTTTGTTACAGTATTTCAGCTGCTCAACAGTTCGTGGTCTCCTTTGTCATATTTTTCATTTTATAATGCACCAGATGTTATCAGTGGTGACAGGTCTGGACTACAGGCAGGCCAGTTTGGACTCTTTTAATACAGAGCAATGCTGTTGTAATACGTGCAACATGTGGTTTGATTCTGTCTTGCTGAAATAATCAAGGCCTTTCCTGAAAAAGACGTCGTCTGGATGGCAGCATATGTTGCCAAAACATGTATATATTGTTCAGCATTAATGGTGTCTTCACAGATGCGCACGTCACCCATGCGATGTGCACTAATGCTTCCCTATACCATCATGAATGCTGGCTTTTGAACTGTGCACTGATAACAAGCTGAGTGGTCTTTAGCCCGGAGGACACAGTGTCCACGATTTCCAAAAAGAAATTCAAATGTTGATTTGTTGGACCACAGGACACTTTTCCACTTCTCCTCAGTCCATTTTAATGAGCTCAGGCCCAGAGAAGGTGGCAGCGTTTCTGGATCCTGTTTATATTTGGTTTCTTCTTTGCGTTTTAGAGCTTTAACTTGCATTTGTGGATGCAGTGATGAACTGTTTTTCAGAAGTGTTCCTGAGCTCATGCAGTGATTTCCACTACAGAATCATCTCTGTTTTTAATGCAGTGCCGTCTGAGGGCCCAAAGATCACGGCCATCAAATACTGGTTAGAGATTTCTCTAGATTCTCTCTGAATCCTTTAATGTTTTTATGTACTGTAGATGATGAAAAGCAAAAGTTCTTTGTTATTTTATGTTGAGAAACGTTATTCTTGAATTGTTGCATTATTTGATCGTGCAGATCTTTCACAGAGTGGTGAACCCCTCCTCATCTTTACTTCTGAAGGACTCAGCATCTCTGGGATGCTCATTTTATATTCAATCATTTACTGACCTGTTGCCATTTTTTTAGCATTAACCTTACCAGCCTTTTTTTGCCTCCGTCCCAACTTTTTTGGGACCGTGTTGTTGGCATCAAATTCAAAATTGGCAAATATTTTTCAGAAAACAATAAAATTTCTCAGTTTCAACATTTGATATGTTGTCTTTGTACTATTTTCAATGAAATACAGGGTTTAAATGATTTGCACATCATTGCATTTTGTTTTTATTTACATTTTGCACAGCGTCCTAACTTTTTTGGAAATTAATTGAAAGATGGTTTCATTTGTCAACAGTCCTTTTGTGCAGAGTTCTGCATGGTTGCACCACTCAGAAGCCTTGAACTACTCTAAAATGTAGGAGAGGGCCTCCTTCCTGTTATTTGCCAAGAGCCCCAGATCACGAAACCTGCCCCTGTTTAGAAAGACAGTTATCACGTAATGGTGACAGAGGTGATAGACAGTGGTGCATCTGCATTTACACTGCCACCTTGCTTTCACTTACAGTGACAACCTGACATCACTGCTGGGTGGAAAAGTCACTCTCAGAAATGTGTAATCATTAATATAGTCCAGGAGCTTACAGCTTAAACTGGCAAAGGTCCAGTTGCATTAAATTTCTTGCTTACAAAGCCTATAAAATTAACACGAGTGAATCGAACAACGGATACCTGTAAATGCTTGACCACTAATGATTAGTCTAGCTAACTAATAAAATAAAGTAAGATACATCAAATGTGCTTTGATAAATTGTTTTGCACCTACTTTTATATTTTAAGGATAACTTTAAAATTGTATGGTCAACAAATGGACATTCAATTGCAAAAAATCGCAAAAAAAAGATGAAATATCGCAAAACAATTATTTTAAAAACTAAAATTATAATATTCTTACACAGAAGAAAAGGTCTCTGTCTTTTCGTAAGGTAAACAAAAAAAAAATCAATTACTAATACAATTCATTGAATCCTGCCCTCTGACCAATGATGGCTTGGATAGGCTCCAGCTCCCCCTGCGACCCAGAAGGATAAGCAGCTTAGAAAATCTGTTAATGTGTGCGTGTGTTTGTGTGTATGTGTGTGTGTGTGTGTATGTGTGTGTGTGTTTGTGTGTGTGTGTATGTGTGTGTGTGTGTGTGTGTGTATTCTTAATGAGCATTTCAAGCTCTTGTGCTGTCAGGAGATATACATGCGCTCTGGTGGACCATGTTCAGAACTGAATTTTGTTAGCAGGTTAATCTGAAGTATCATTTCACATTTCCGCTTCTGACCAGCACAACAGACTCTAAAGCAGTTATTCAACCCTATTTCTGGTCAATGAAGTGAAGCAACAACATATCCTGTAAAAACAGGAAAGTTGATGATGAAAACAAAGTGCTTCAAATGGAATGAACAGAGAACTGTGTTGGTTAGATCACTGTTTCTCAGTCCTGGTCCTGGAGGCCCACCACCTCACACATTTTAGTGTCTTGCCTGCTTTAACACAAAATCCAACTAATGATCCAACTAATCAGCTCATTGACATCCCAGGATTGAGTTAAAATATTAAAAAAGGACATGCACTAACATGTGCAGGGCAGTCGGACCCCAAAACCAGAGATGAGAAACTGCACCAAACACATTAGATCAGGTTTTCGTCATCAGCTCACTGTTTTAGCCAGCTGTGTTGTTGCTTTACTTCTCAGACCAGAAGCTGTAAATATATTTAAAAATCTACAAAAATATGTGAAATTATTTAGCAGTTCAGTCCACTGAAATATTTAGCTGTGAACTCTTTAATAAATACTTTGTTTTGCAGTCTCAGTGTCTGATGTTAAATCCAGTACTTACTGTCAGACACAAGGCTGGATAGACAGATAAATGGATGGATGAATGGATGGATAAATGAATGATTAAATCGAAGAATGAATGGATGGTTGAATGAATGCATGGATGGATGGATAATTGGATAAATGGATGGATGAATAAATGACTGGATAAATAAAATGGATGGATGGATGGATGGATAGATGGATGTTTGGATTGATGGATGGATGGATGGATGGATGGATGGATGAATGGATGGGTGAATGAATGGATGGATGGATGGATAATTGGATAAATGGATGGATGGTTGAATGGATGGATAAATGGTAGAATGAATGAATGGATGGTTGAATGGATGATAAATGGATAAATTGATGAATGGATGGAGAAATGGATGGATGGATGGATAAGCAACTTGATAAATGTATGAATGGATGAATGTATGGATAAAAGGCTGAATGGGTAAATGGATGAACAGATAATGGATGAATGGATGGATAAATAGATTATTGGTTAAATGTATGGCTGCCACCTGTGCACCAGTTTGGGTGCACTGTCCCTTTAAGAGCTGAGAGCTCGTGCGCCTCCCTCCGCCTTAACCGTCACTGAGCTCCATCAAACAGCCGGAGATAAGCCCGTCTTTCCCCGCAGGTGATGTTCTACCCTCTTCACTCGCTCTTTACAGGTGATGGCTTGTTTTATTGAACGTGTTGCTCTGGGTTTCAGCGATAGTGTAGAAGTGTGTGTTATTAGCCTAGCCTAGCCCAGCCTGTCTCCGTGGCGGAGCAGCAGCAGCAGCAGCTGTCACTGTAACTACATTCACCCTGATAAAGGACGACGAGAGGCGGACAAAACACGATAAAACACATCTTTTATTACATTAATGCGTGTTTGTTAGCATATCCCGGCGTCTGTACCGCTCCATCTCCATTTTGTTGTGAATTATTAATTCTGCGCTGTGCGGCGGAACCGCGTTTCAGCACTGGATCAATTCAGCATCGCCTATGGAGCACGAATTTCCCGGTCCACCTTAAGTAGCGCAGCAGTTGCGTTCTGGCGCTCTGTGGCGCCCTATGTAACCACCGCACCATTTAAGGTGGAACGGAGAATTCGAATAAGAAGCGGGCGAATAAGAAGGCAATTCCGGCCTCGTGGTTTTTAAACGTTGTGTATGTTCCCGTATGGAGGAGGAATAGTCTGTAACACTCTCTAGTCTAATAATTCTCCAGTCTAATAGCTCTAAACTGAAGGGAAGCAGGAATGAGAGCAGCTCAGGATGGAGGATCTGCCTGCTCTGCTTCTGCTTTGGACTATCTCGTGTTTTATCTGCTCTAGCACACCTGATTCAGGCCCAGGCCTTTGCTGTAGGTAGAGCAGAAACATCATACTGCCACAGAGGGACCACACAGTCCCCTTAAAACTGGAACAACACTAAAAAGATCATTTACTTATTATCCATGTATAAATAGTAAGATTCTTTATTCACCCATAGACCATATAAACCAATCAGGCATAACATTATGACCACCTCCTTGTTTCTACGCTCATTGTCCATTTTATCAGCTCCACTTACTATATAGGTGCACTTTGTAGTTCTACAGTTACAGACTGTAGTCCATCTGTTTCTCTGCATTCTTTGTTAGCCCCCTTTTACCCTGTTCTTCAGTGTTCATGACCCCCATGGACTCACCGAGCAGGTACTATTTGGGTGGTGGATCATTCTCAGCACTGCAGTAACACTGATGTGGTGGTGGTGTGTTAGTGTGTGTTGTGCTGGTACGAGTGGATCAGACACAGCAGTGCTGCTGGAGTTTTTAAACACTGTGTCCACTCACTGTCCACTCTATTAGACACTCCTACCTTGTCGGTCCACCTTGTAGATGTAAAGTCAGAGACGATAGCTCATCTGCTGCTGCACAGTTTGTGTTGGTCATCCTCTAGTCCTTCATCAGTGCATACAGGACGCTGCCCACAGGACGCTGTTGGCTGGATATTTTGGTTGGTGGACTATTCTCAGTCCAGCAGTGACACTGAGGTGTTTAAAAACTCCAGCAGCACTGCTGTGTCTGATCCACTCAGACCAGCGCAACACACTAACACTAACACACCACCACCACGTCAGTGTTACTGGAATGCTGAGAATGATCCACCACCTAAATAGTACCTGCTCTGTGAGGGTCCATGGGGGTCCTGACCCCTGAAGAACAGGGTAAAAGGGGGCTAACAAAGTATGCAGAGAAACAGATGGACTACAGTCTGTAACTGTAGAACTACAAAGTGCACCTATATAGTAAGTGGAGCTGATAAAATGGACAATGAGCGTAGAAACAATGAGGTGGTCATAATGTTATGCCTGATCAGTGTATATCTGTGAATTACTGCATTACTGTTCAAACTGCAACCTTGTTTGCCAGTTGAGAGGTTTCAGCAGGTATCTTATAACTGGAGTAACATATTGTTTGTCTCTCATTTATGTAGAAATGTTGAGGTTGTTATAATTACACTGGGCATCCCAGCAGTTTGCTGTAGTACTGTTTGTATTGCAAACCTTGGTACCAGATGAGACAGTTGTCTTGAGGTGATTTTGGTGGTGGGATCACTAAATAGGTTGAAAAGAACCTGATTCAGGTGGAGCTCAATAGTAGACATTATTTAAAAAAGCTTCTACACCCATTTGTACTGTAGTCTCTCGCCATCTGAGAAGATGAAAGTGAGACTTTATGTTGTGTTGTTGTAGAGATTCATTCTGAAGGCAGATCTATAAGAATTAAGCTGAGTCAGCTGTTAGAATGGCCCCTGTAAGCTGTGGTTAAATAGTTTATATTCAGAATTTGTTTTTGTCTGACCCTAAAGCTCTTATGTCCAGCATTTAAAAGCATTAATTCTGTGAAAGTAATTTGTACAGTATTTCTTTTCTCCTAATGGAGCCAAGACATGTTTGGTGTCTGCAGTTTGCTTCTTTGCTCTAGAGCTAATGTAGCTAATGAATATTGAAAGCTAATTTTCCACATTTCCACTAGAGAGGTCATCAAATCCCCCAAACTTACACTGTGTAGCTTTAAGTAATCGCTAATAGATTTCCTTAGGTGGTTTCTGTTGCTGCTGACTTAAAGTTTTCTGTGAATTGGTGCAGACAAAATTCAGACTTAAAGACGGATGCTACTACTCTTTTTTTTAGCTAAACTAAAACTTAATATTGTCGTAATATTTTTATGGATGATTCAGGCCAGTCCTGGTCTTTTGGTGGGACGTTTTCATTACTTATTGTCAACATTAGTCTTGTAGCTGCAGTGTAAAACTCAAGAAGCATATTTGACTACATTTGGGGTAAAGAGAATATTGTGTAAATCTCATTTTTTTGCATTAAAGTGCCCAAATTTTGAAAAAGTGTGATATGTGAACATTGTTAACGTTACAAAACATACCATTCACTGCCCAATCCATACAGTCTATATATGGAAACTAAGCTTAAAAAACATGGTTTCTGTGATGTCATGAGAGCAAACACTCCTATTCAGCCTAGAGAAGCTCTGCCTATTCATGCTGAAATTATAAGGAGCCCAGGCTGCTTCTTGAATGAAGCACAATACAGGGCAGCCAATCCAAGCAGATCTCTTTTACATAAGTCAGTCTTAAAGGCATAGTAACAAAACAAGCCTGTTTAATTGTAAGGGATAAAGAGAGGTCATAAAAAGGTCAGTTAAAATTGAATTACGACTGTTTTTGGGACACGATTCCACACATAAAATCATAAATGGACTTCAAGAGAAAAATAAAATATGAGAATAATGTAGGATGTGGGCCTGTAATGCATGATTTGTCTCCCTCTCAGGTATGCAGGGCCTGTGTCCGGTTCTGAGAAGGATGGATTACGTGTGAAGCAGACCCATTTTTCATTATCTCTCTTTCTCTGACCGCTTCCTGCCCTTTTTACTGGATCACCATGGCGTTGTGTGTCCCGGCCTGCTCTCCGGTCGCGAGGTTCTGCCAGAAACTAAACCGGCTGAAGACGCTGGAGGATGATGTTATGGCAACATCTCTGAAGCGTTGTCTCTCCACCCTGGACCTGGCGCTGCTCGGGGTTGGCGGAATGGTCGGATCGGGCCTTTATGTTCTCACGGGAACCGTTGCCAAGGACACAGCTGGACCGGCTGTGGTCCTCTCTTTCCTCATTGCGGGCGTGGCCTCTCTCATGGCAGCACTTTGTTATGCTGAGTTTGGTGCACGGGTCCCAAAGACAGGCTCCGCCTACATGTTCACGTACGTCTCTGTTGGCGAAATATGGGCTTTCCTCATTGGCTGGAATGTCATTCTGGAGTATATGATTGGTGGGGCGGCCGTGGCCCGGGCTTGGAGCGGCTACTTGGACTCCATCTTCAACCACCGCATCCAGAACTTCACCGAGAGTCACGTGATGCGCTGGGATGTGCCTTTCCTCGCTCATTACCCAGACCTCCTTGCGGCAGGCATCTTGCTGGTGGCTTCCATGTTCATTTCGTTTGGCGTGCGCGTCTCGTCCTGGCTCAACCACATCTTCTCCGCCGTCAGCATGGTAGTGATCACCTTCATCCTGGTCTTTGGCTTCATGCTGGCTGACCCAGCCAACTGGAGCGCTCGAGAAGGAGGTTTCGCCCCCTATGGGCTGTCGGGGGTCATGGCAGGAACAGCCACCTGCTTCTATGCCTTTGTCGGATTTGACGTCATTGCGGCTTCCAGCGAGGAGGCGCGGGACCCTCAGAAGGCCATTCCCATAGCAACAGCCATCTCCCTGGGCCTGGCTGCCACAGCCTACATCCTGGTGTCCACGGTTCTGACGCTGATGGTGCCGTGGCACACGCTGGACCCAAACTCAGCACTCTCTGACGCCTTCTTCAGACGGGGCTACAGCTGGGCCGGCTTCATAGTGGCTGTGGGGTCGATCTGTGGTGAGGATGTGCTTTTGTTTTGTTTTTTTTAAATATAGTGAAAATATCATTCTCATTTTGAATGTTTGCTGTCATAATATTATAAGACTAATTCACTTATTTCTTAAAATATAATTTCTGACACTTTCCTCAGATAAAATTAGTTTGAAAAGTAAAATATAATTATCATAATATATTCCTACAACAGTCTTAAAATGAAAAATATTAGATTTATATTTATTAAAGATGATTTCCCTTGCCCCAATATAACTGTTAACTGTATCTGTGATTTTGTGTTTGTGCCTGAATCAATCTATGTCTGTATGTTGGAAACAAGGCTTTGACTAATAGTGAGGTCACTGGAGGGCCAATGCACAACCCACCTAATTCAGCTAATGAAGGGCTTTATAATTAGCTGATGAGGTAATTGAGAGCATTAAAGCCGAGAAAACAGCAAATCCTGCAGTGCTGTGCTCCTCCTGGAGTGCATTTTGTGAACTAGAAACTATTTCTGGCCTATTTAAAAGAGAGACCAAACTGCATCTTACAGTAAAAGCTTTGTGTTCAAAATGATGTAAATGTAAATGATGTCAGGGTGTAAATGCCTCTGTCAATCCAAAATTGTGGACATAAAATGTTATTTTTTATCAGGGAAAGCTCTCAGACCTGGACACCCTGACCTTTTGTTTGATGTTTGCGATGTTGGACATATATTGACAATATGAGAAATGATAAACTCTGATTAAAATAACGAGTCTATGATTGCAAGCATACATTCCGTTTATTTGTTTTCTTTTTTGAAAATAGAAAAGCAACTAGAATAAAATGCAAAATTACAAAAGCACCATTCACTGTTGTGCAAAGTGTGAAATAAGGATAAATGCAGTAAAAGGGTGCTAAAATATACAGTTGGCATTCCCTGACCAGATGTTTCTACATGGACCTAAAAACGAATTTATATATGTTAAATTTCTTGAAAGGTCTTTATGGTGATGCAGGTTTGTTGTGACAGTAGCCATTACTGCATCATACATTTTACACACAACTTTGTGAGTGAGAATAGTCACCATGCTTAAAGCGTTTTGCCTGGTAAGTAGTTAAAGATTAGTTTTTTTAGGCCTGTCATAATCATGAAATTTTAGCTGACAATTAAATTGTTAACCAGTATTATTTATATAACAATTTAATTGTCTTTTATTTTATACAAGTAATAAAATACAAGTCTAAAGCAGCTACATTGGCTGTCTTGCGTTCTAGCTCTTTATTTTGCAGATAACAATAGAACACGCTGTACTGTGTGTACCTAGTCTACAGTTTCATAGTTGGTGTCAACCAAAGCATACATTTTTCTATTGAAATTGTGAAAATGTGAGTTAAAAAAACTTGTTTGGCAAACATACATGCTAAAATTAGTATTAGCTACACTGCCTATCAAGTTAACAAGTAAACATTCCCCCTAAACCATAGCACACAGCTAAAAGTTAAACTTGTTAGAAATAGAAAAGTTAGAAGGAATAAGTTATTTGTTTTATTTACAATTATTTTGCTCAAGCCAGCTAATGAAAACACTTTAAGCTGACATTATGCTTATTGCAATTCAGTATGACTGTGAAATCTAGTGACTGTGGAAAGCAGTTGTGATTTGATTAAGTAAATGCGATTATCTCAAATAATTGCTAACAGGTGATTATGCAATAATTGTGATTTTTGAGCTGTGCATGTGTGGGTACCTGGCTCTGTGTGATTGTGTGATTGGCTCTGTAGCTGAGTGGTTAAGTCACTCTGCACATCTGGAATTTGAGCCCTGATTAAGACAGTTAGTCATGGTTCCTAACCCTGCAATGTCTTTGCAGTCCTTAAAAGGAAATTCAAAGTTTCTAACATAATTCAATCACTGAGATGTAAGCAAAGGCATTCAGAGAGGTCTGATGTGTCTGTAAACCAACAGACTCAGATTTATTTATAGTGATGGTGATTGGAACCAGGGGTTGTGATGTCTGCAACAGACATATATCCAATTTATTTACTATCCTAATTGACAAGTGGACCTATTTATGTCTTTCTTTACATTTTGACCATTTAATTGAGCAGAAATTTTAAAAAATGGGTATGATTCTTCATAATAACAAGAAACTAGGATTAATCTCACCCTTTCAGAGCCACAGCCAGACACCTTAGAGGCATTCTAGAGGCATTGCCTTCTAATAGCATTAATTCTGTTTTGTGTTGCTGCTCTTCAAGTTGATTTTGTGTTTCTGTGATTCCTCTCCAGCCATGAACACAGTTCTGCTCAGCAATCTCTTCTCCCTGCCGAGGATCGTGTACGCCATGGCGGAGGACGGCCTCTTCTTCTCCATCTTCTCTCGCGTCAACCCTGTCACCAAAGTCCCAGTCATTGCCATCCTCGTCTTTGGAAGCCTCATGGCTTTGCTGGCCCTCATCTTCGACCTGGAAGCTCTGGTCCAGTTCCTGTCCATCGGTACTCTTCTAGCCTACACCTTCGTAGCAGCGAGCGTAATTGTGCTACGTTTCCAGCCCGAAAAAAGCAGCAGTGCCTCAGGTGGTGGAGGCACCAAAACAGACGCGTCGTCCACGGCCTCCCCCAACCAGCCAGAGACTCAGGGAGTCCCCAGCATGACCAGATCTGAGACCCAGACGCTGGCGCAGGAGGCCGGAGAGCTGAAAGAGTACGAGTCCTTCTCGGATAAGCTCCAGTTAGTGGAAAAGCAGAAGGCAGTTAGAGAGCGACGAGCCCCAGGCATGCTCAAGGCTCGCTGGGAGCCCTATTTGGGACGTTTGTTGGGCGACTGCGAGCCAGGAGACGTGGTGGCCTTCTCCGTACTCGCTCTGATGGTCAGTGCCGTTTCCCTCTGTGCTGTTCTGGTGTTTGGGAATAGCTACCTGCACCTGCCCACATGGAGCTTTATCCTGCTGCTGGTGGTCTTCAGCCTGGCCTTCTTCATCAGCCTGGTTCTCATCTGGGTCCATGAACAGCAGACCAAAACGAAGACTTTTCAGGTGAGAAAAGCGGTCAAATCCAGTTACACCGATGCTGCAGAAGAAGTGTGAGGTTAATACTTTTGTGTACAGTCAGATTCAAAAATGTAGTTTTTGAAGACCATGAAGACCAGAATATCTACTTTTTCAGGCTTAAGACTTGAACGCTGGACGTAGTGTGTCAGATTAGTGCTGGACGATTTTCACGATTAATTCGGTTAATTTGAATTAACGTTTTCACACGATGTCAGAAATGTGACAGTCGAGATTGTACAAGTTTACATTGCTTGTACTTAATTAAAATACCAACAAAAACTTAAAATTTTCAAGACGTATGAAAAATGCATCTTAAGCTTAAGCCTGTAAGCTTTAAGGAAGCTGCTTGCTACTCTTAAAAGAATATCACTAATTAAGGTGGTTCTTTTATGTTTTAATTATTGTTATTACTTTTGTTACAAATTTAGTTGTGCTTGCACAGTCTTAGTCCCTTGAAAGAATTTAAAAGTAACCGCTGTTTGCACAATTTAATAATTATAGGTGGTGCTATTATTTTTGCATTTTTAGAGTCTTTCAAATTAAAGTGCAAAAAAGAATTTTGTCTTTTTTCAATGGCATTATGCAAGAACCAAAAAATAAATCGAGAATCACTAATAAAATTTAAAATAATCGAGATTTTATTTTTTTGCAATATCGCCCAGCCCTATGTCAAATGCCAGTGATTTGTGGTTGTGATGACACAGCATGTGGGTGTTTGGTTGCTTCTGATTGGTCTAACTCATCTAAAGGCAGTTTACAAGCTCATTATTAGGCAGAGCAAGCCAAATTTATTTATACAGCACATTTCATACACAAGGATGATTACATAATTGCATAAATAAAACAGTTATAGGAAAAAGAGTAAAAAAAGAGTAAAATAGATGCAATAGAATAATAACATGCTGCAAAGATACAGAGTGCAATAACTTAAAGAAATAAAATAGTAATTAATAGGAAATACACAAAAACAAAATACAAAAGCAAAAGTGCTTAAATGTCATAAAAGTTAGCTCAGTGAAAATGAATAAATGGTCTTTGAGCTCCATTTTAGACACACAAAAAAATGTTTTTAACTTGGATTTAAAAACCATTACCCTTCATTTAATATCTTTTGTTCCACTTGTATAAAGGATTACAGTGAAATGCTTCCCCATGTTTAGGTTAAATTAGGTTAATTAGGTTAAAATTTCCCACTCAAAAGATGACAATGTTGATAAAATAGGCAGTAATTAAAATTGCAGCTCTTTCAAATTGCAATGTCAATATAAAAACAATTAATCATTCATTGTACATTTCAAGCCACATCTTCTATGGTATATGCAAGTGTGGTCTGAGTTTAATATAGTACAGTAATAGTAAGATGCTTAGTGGTGCCACTGTGTCTGGTCTCTGTCTCCTAGCTTGTCCATTGTGCAGTAGCCTGCAGTCTGAAGATCCCTACACGCTTTTTTAAAAATTGAAAAATCAAGTTTTACCAATACTTCCATTCCTATGAAGCTTGAAAAGACTAGTGTACCTAGATAAAACTGCAGGAACAATCCAGGAATAGCCAGTTGCTCAGAAAATCTATACGGATGGTAGCCATTTGTTTACGAAGCCTTTAGACAGCTTGCGAGTGCTCTGGTTTGTGCTTCACTGTTGTTTTGTCTGATGAGTTGTTTTGTCTGTTGGTGCAGCATCACCACCCACTTACATTCTCTCACCACTCTCAGAGCACAGGCAGAAGCTGTGAGTGACTCATAGTGATGAGGCAGACTCTTTTATCTCCTCCATCAGGAAGTAGACACTTCTCTTGCAACTGTAAAAGCAGCATTATATCACACAGAGACCACACTGGAATATACAGGCTTATATGGAGTCACTGCTATTAATTCCACTCCACACTCACTGCACTTATAAGGCTGTTTACAATGTATTTCTGCCTGAATTATGAAGGTGTTGCTGTTTTTTTATATGTTCACCATCTGTCTGAAGGCCTGTATTCATCTGCTCCACTGTTTTTTTTTAAATGAAGGGTATTAATAGCGAGTTTGTCCTCCTTTGCTGCTGCAACAGCCTCTACTCTTCTGGGAAGGCTTTAGATTAGATGTTGCTGTGAGGATTTGATTGAGCATCAGTGAGGTCAGGTACTGATGCTGGATAAACAGTTCTGTATCACTTCAACTCATCCCAGTGGTACTGGATGGAGCTTCTTTACTCTAGAGAACACAGTTCCACTGCTCCACAGGCCAATGCTGGGGGGCTTTATACCCCTCTGACCCACGCTGGGCACTGGGCGTGGTGACCTTAGGCTCATATGCAGCTGCTCCAGAGTGTCTGGTTCTGTTGGTCAGTGCTTTTATTTAGAAATTGTAGCTTCAAGGACAGTTGAATACTAATGTCAGCAATTGGTGCACCTTAAAGTAAAATAATTCACTTGTTGCTGTCCAGGAACAGATTATAGTCTTTGAAAGCCCCCCATGTCTTTGGAGGCCCCCTTTCTTTACTTCCATTTCTTCTTTGCTTTTCTCCTGAAAGCACTGCTCTGGTAACACTTATGGTCCATTATCAATTCTGTTCTAGAAGCTACAAGACAATTAGTGTCATGCGGTTGAAAAACCAACACAGGGCCTCTAATTTGATATCAAACAATCAAAAGTGCTCCTTGTTTTTGGCCACATTTTAACCCTGTAGGACCCGTTTTTGTAAAGAATACCACTCCTCGGCTGGTGCTTGGCCTGAGGGGCCTGAGAACAGCTAACATCTATTTAATGTAATTCAACAGCTAATATTTATTTCAGTTATTTAGTCATTTATACATATGTATACATATATATTTTTGTAATTCATCTCATTGGCCATGGATTTTCCTGGGTCTTTGAGCTGCCTCAGTCGTCTGAGCCCCCCACGAGTTCCATTGGCCAAGACACTAATCCATCTGTGGGGGTGTCTGGAGACCTTTGCATGTTGCTTACCTCACTAGGTCTGAATGATTAATTAAGAAATTTGCTTTACATAGACATCATCGGGATAGCAGTTTTCTGCAATTTTAATTATATGCTTCACTATTTTATGATGCTTTATTATTAAATATAATATATGTGTAAATAAATAAATATTTCTATATCTGCAAACATCTGCTTTGGGTGGAGTATTGTTTGGGTCTTGTCTGGCCCCCAGCACTACCTCATATCCAGTGAGCACAGCTCTGCAGATATGCCCAACATGAGGCGTGCTCGCCATGGCCTCTGTGAGTTACACTTACCCATGAACCCCTTCCCTGCGCTGAGATACAGATACTTTTATGTACATTACAGAACTTTAAATCAGCCATGAAATGGCTCAAGCCTGGAAAACTGGATGTGCTGGTCTTCTTTTCAAAAACAGGTCTGAAGCAGTATTGGTCAGGAAAATTGCATTTAGATCTTTCAGCCTCGTACTGTAATGTGTACTGTAATGTGACTGTGTGTTCTGCAGGTTCCTCTGGTTCCGTTTGTTCCTGGGGCCAGTATCCTGCTGAATGTGTTTCTGATGCTGAAGCTCAGCGCTCTCACCTGGCTCCGATTCACCATCTGGCTGGCTGCAGGTACCGGACAGGCACTTTCTATCCGCACACACTTATGCCTACACCAGTGTGGGCAGTATGATGAAAAATGTAACACCACGATACTCTAAGACATTTTTTCAATACCACTATATGCATCACAATATTTAGTTCTTCTGAACCAAGACACCATCTGCTGCATCCAGACTCCTACACACATACACATTACCTCCAGATTTGCTCCCATACACACACCACCTACTACACACTCCTAATATTCATATTATTTTCCAAAATGTGATGATGTATTTCAAACTTTACACTCTACATACAGTAATATATTTAACGTATACTATATTTGTAAGAGTGTACACGAGCATTATCAAATCATACAATTTGGCTTAAGAGCTGACAATCAGAATCAAACTGTTCTACTGTGCAGCATTGCTTACACAAACATGATCTGCTTGAAAGATTCAGCAGAGGGAAACCTTACCTGTGAGCCCATCACAAAAGTCCACATCTAAACTATGTAAAACAGCATAAAGATAAGCTAAAGACATTTTGGAAACCTTTGCTCCAAAGGCACGTTTGGGGGGCGGGTGGGGGGGGTTAGAAGCAGCATTTGATGAAAAGAACACCTTGCCAACTGTTAAGCATGGGGGCGAGTCTGTTATGCTTTGAGAAAACACTGCACAAGTAGATAGAAGCATAGATTCCACTAAATGTTGGTAGCACATATGAAACAGTTACTCAAGAAACTGAAGCTAGAAAGAGGCTGGCTTCTACAAAAGGACAATGATCTAAAACAGATCTAATGTGGAACCGTCCTCACTGTCCCCTGACTCGCTAAAAATCTGAGGGTAGATCTTAAACATGCTGCACATGCAAGTTGGTGGAGGAATATTGAAGAGTGGGTGCAGATTACTTAAACAGGAACAGAAGGACTCATAGCTGGCTTCAGAAAACGTTTATAAGCTGTGACATCTGCCAAAGATGGTGTCCAAATGTTGCACAGTATTATTTTGTTTTTTTAAGTTAATCAAACAGAAAGTAATTGTGTATTAACATCTGCAGAAAAAAAATATTTTCTAAAATAATTTGCTTCAGATGTTGTACTCTACACTTCCCCTCTTTTTGTTAGTCCTTTTAGGCCAGGGTGGGGCTCGGCCTGCTCCACAAACACTAACACACACACACACACACACACACACACACACACACTTGGGCAGGTTAAACAAAGGCACACCATCTTAGTCAAACAGTGTAAAAGGCAAATTAAACAACTGAAGACTGAAGCAGTGCTGACTTTATGACCACTGGCTGAAAGATTCAGTACCCTGTGTTTATCTTTATGATATTGTTTGAAGGCTTTTAGTTGTTTTGCTGTCTTGTGCAGATCATTTCACTGGTTATGAGCTTGTGAGTTAATGTGTGTGCTTTGTTCCTTTTATAATTCAGAGAGAGAGAGAGAGAGAGAGAGAGAGAGAGAGAGAGAGAGAGAGAGATAATTGGCTATAGAGCAGTCAGTGAGAAAACAGGATCAGTTAAAACTCCATTACTCCATCAGCTTGAGCTCCAGTTAACTCTAGCCTAAACTGTTTAAACAGTTAACCTGACTGTACCCGCCCCACACACACACACACAGATCTGCACATTTGTCTACATACTTACTGTTTGCTCTGCACACACTATGGGCAGATTTGTGAGCTACAGCAGGGAACTAGACACAGGTAACTTTGCATGATTTGCTAATATGGATTAGAGTAGTATTCAGGTGTAGTTGTAGTGTGCTCGGTATTGATCAGAATTGCTAACAGAAGTACTAAGTACTGTAATTGGTAGTGAGAGTACAGTGTTGTTCATAGTGAGGCCTGTTAGCTTGATGACTAAAATCATTGTCCTCAATAATTTGCTCAAATTTGACCAAAAAAAAAAGATTTTCTTTTCCATCAAAGAAATTTTGTTATTTTGTTATAAATACAGGGGGCCAAAAGTCTGAGACCACAAGTGAAGATGCTTCTATTTTGCATTCATTTCTAATTTAATACACTTTTTTCATAACAAATTATATTATCAGCATAACAAACCAAAATCTTTAAAGATTTTAATATGAATTTCAGAATTACTTAATGTTTGCCCCCTTCTGCTTTAATGACAGTGTGTACTTGAGCTGCATAGACTCTGATCACCAATGTTGAGCAGATCAGATCCACTTGGAGGTTGTCTGCTTGAATGAAAGCAACAAGAAGGAAGGAAAAAAAAAATCATAGTGTCACAAATCTGCTTAAATTTGATTCGTGACCTAGAAATAGTGCAGAATATTCAGTATCGATTCTTTCCTTTTACTTCCTTTTACTTGTCATTATTTTTCAGATTTTTCTCTAAAATTCTCTAAAATTTTTCGTTTTTTATTTCTAGGATTAAATGAAAAATTCCCAGATTTCCATAGTGGTCTCAGACTTTTAGACACACTATATAAGAGTGGCCATAACAAGTTTCAATAAGCTTTTCTGAATGAGAGAAGAGGACTTCAGCTTTCATTACTCGAGGTCGAAGGGTGAAGCTGGAAATGCATTACTGGCATTAAAAAAGGAGTTTCTTGAATAATTTGCCTTGTTAACACGATGCAGCTCTAACAGCCCAAAGTATTACATCGTCAGTTATTACACTATGAACAACTTGTAAAAAAGACGTAATATATTATTGAAGTATAATGTAATAGGTGTGATTTGTACAAATATATAAATAACAGAAATTTAAAGGGAAAAAAAAAACAACTTTACTTTTAATGTAAGTCAGTGGAACCAGACATTTTTCCAAGTAATTTCAGGCCGTTTCTTTTGGTCCTTTCATCATGTAATTTACACACAATGTAAAGGACGACAGGCATTTTCAAATTATGCCAAAAACTGACAAACGACAAGGTTTTCTTCCGACAGCACTGATTTATTTGAATCAATTCTAATGATATATGGTGAGAATGGCTTTAAATAATGCTTAGGTGGCTAAAACTTGTGCACAGTACTAAATGCTGTGTAATAATGTATACATTTTATGTACAGTTGAAAGTATACAGTAGTTTACAGAAAGACAGCTGTAAATAAGGTAATTTGCCATGTTTAACTCTTACATCCTAATGAAAGGTGATGACACTCATATTCTCTCTCTCTCTCTCTCTCTCTCTCTCTCTCTCTCTCTCTCTCTCTCTCTCTCTCTCTCTCTCTCTCTCAGGTCTGCTGGTGTATTTTGGTTATGGTATATGGCACAGTAAGGAGGGATTGCGGGAGCTGCAGGGTAACGATGTGTCGGCGCGTTACGTGGTCCTGCCGAGCGGGAGCCTGGTGGAGACCGTCCAGAACGTCCAGCCTGAGGGACATCCACACACACACGCCACACACACACCAGACACCAACGACCCGCCGGCCAACAGATGATCTGTCTCTGACCTGGAACATGTGTGCAGCAGTTTATTTGCCAGATAGTCGTGTGTGTGTGTGTGTGTGTGTGTGTGTGTGTGTGTGTGTGTGTGTGTCTGTGTGTGTGTGTGTGTGTGTGTATGAGTTTTTATTTTATTTTCTCTCTCTCTCTTTCTGCTGTGCTCTGCTCTGCCTTTCATCTGCCTTCTTCTTGTGAAGAACACAAATAGTTTCTATATCAGGGATTATTTATGATCTTCAGGAGACACTGAATCACTGAGTGTCTGTGAAAATCCACCCGTTTTATGTTATGACAGACTTGCTTTTGTTCACATGCTCAGTGGCAGCGCCGACTGAGTTTAGCCGCTGTTGCTAAGCTGAAGGGAAACTGTTTCGTTTCCAGTCTCAGTTCATACAGTTTCTGTGTGCAGTCAGTTGGAGTTGGTTGGGCCTCGCTGTTCCAGCCCGCTGTGTGACCCACTTAAAGGAGCATTTCAGTCAAACCATGCTAATGTTGCTAACTGTGAATGAAAGTGAACAGTCACCAGTTAGCATTTAGGCCCAGTCACACTTGCGTTTACCAGCAAATTTTCACAACCGCAAGCAATGGAAATTGCCCCATTGAGCTAAATTTTGCCACTTTTTGGTGAACTTTGAAATGCAAATTTGCATCTTTGACCGATCATGCTGCTGCTTCATCACCTCCAAAATGGAGGAAATGCTAATGTAACCAGAGTCTCGGCAAAAAAACATTAAACTGTTCTTCCATACCGGCTATTAAAACCACCGACCGTATGATATACAGTCAGTCAGGAGACTCTATTATTATCTTTACTTGTGTTTTTACTGTTTGTTTTGGATGAGTTAGCCAGCTTGCTAACTCTAAGGCTAACCAGCTACACAGAAGTCAGTTGTGAAGCCTAAGGTCATTTTTTTGCTACAGATCTTTGTGTAGCTCTATGCTATGGTGAGTATAGTTATCTGATACAACTTTGTTATACGTTTTGCTGTTTATGGGAGGAGTTTGCCAGCTTGCTAACTGCTATTTTAGCTTCCGGGCTAACCGCAGCTCCACAGGTCACCCCATTGCCACAGGTCACCCCGTTGGCTATTTTTTGTTGTAGAATTATCTGATATAATTATATTCAGTTTTGTATTACTTTTTATGGTCAGTGAGTTCGCTAATGTGCTAACTGCATCGACATTTTTTCTGGATCTTTGTGGATCCTTCAAACGAGCCTCAGTCACACCTATTTCAGACATGAATTCCCCCTTCCGTTTGATTCAGTGATGATTCTTTAGAGATGATTCATGAAATTCTAAATTTCACCACAGATTAGTTCAGTTTATTCGGTAGTTTTGCTTCGAGTATTGAATAGAGACAATAAAACCAATACACCAAACTTTTTTTCATTACAAAATCTAAAATAAAAATTTATTTTGGCAAAAAATGAGAAGATACTTTACTAAATATTATTATAAACAATTATAATTGATTGCTGTTGGACTGGATAGATGCATTTGTACACCCTTTCTAGCTGGTGGCTGGTTTTGTTCACTGTAAGCATCATTAGCATGTTCCAAGCTGTTTCTTTCTCGTCCATCAGCTCAGCTCTATGCTTTGGTGGGTTTGTTGTGTTTGCATGGATCCTGTAAGAAATACTGAATAGACCTAGCGCTCTGCTGCTAATGTTAGAGAGAATCAGTGTGTTCAGAACTGAATATTTGGAGTTTGCAGCATTTTTATGTTGTTTAGCTGGTTTGGAGTGAAACCGACAGGTGAACTATGTGCTTCTATTGTCTTGTAGTCAGTGGCTCTGGACTGTGGTTGGTTAGCCTGATTAGCACTTTGTTTTCGGCCAGCTTGATGTGTTTTTGAGGATGAGTTTGAGGGTCCATGTCCTACATTTTTCTTAAAAACACCACAAACATTGAATCAAAACAGGCTGTTTATTGTGCAGCATAGTTTCCACATATGTTTTCCATACTACATAAAACCTTTTATTTAATAACATTGAGAAAAATGTGTTTTTCCATGATATGGGCCCTTCAAGTTTAGTCTAGAGCCGCAAGCAAGGACAATCACGCACACACATGCACGTTGGCGTCTTCGTTGTTTGCTTTAGTGGAATGCAAAGTGGATCATGTGGATCCACTCGTGATGCAGCGTCACAGTCAGTGTGATCTGAAGCTTTTCACTGAAATACTCACTGAATCTCATAGAAATGTCAATATATTTATTTCACTTTTTATTTATATATATTGTCAGTGTTTAATCAGACCTCATTATTTAATGTGTAAATTATGTTACAGTGGAATGCCTGTTCAGTTTCAAAGCCTGCTTATAAACCGACTTTTAAACTGTAGCCTTTGAAGTGACCTATTCAGGCTCTGCCCACAGACTTGACCTTTCAAAGTTGCTGTTGCTCGATTAGACAAGCTTAACTGAGCGCTGGTCATAATCTCATTAAACACAATGAGAAACTGAGAAAATCAGCTATTAGTGTTAGATCACTACATGATGTTGAGTTTGCAGTTTTGCTATGCTAAGCAGGCCTGGTTACAGGTTGGGGTGGTCAGCTAAGGCCCAGAGACATGACTATAGCAAGTATGATGACCACCAGCTGGCCTACTTCATTATAGCTAAAAAAAAAATACAGTTATCCTAAACAAAGGAAAACATATTTTGAATATTAAACACAGCACATATTTGCTTCCCTCAAATTTAAGTGGCTAACATTAGCTTTTATACCTGCTGGAGGCTAATTAAACAGAGTCTTACCTTTTATAGCGCTAAATGTTTAGGGGATGTGGTTGAGGATGCCATGTTTTGTCATATTTTCACAGTAATGAGCTTCATTTTCAGTGAACCACTGCTACGTGTTCACTTCCAGAAAGTAACACAGCTCAACTAGGTTTCTTTAATAAGAGAAACTAGCGATGAGCATCCCAGCTCTGTTCAGTAAAGCACTGATCACTCGGCTCACCTCAACAAAGGAGAGACGACTCTTTCGGTTCCTAATTAGTTCTTCATTCAGTAGCAGTGTTTTTCCCCCCAGAATTAGCCAAGTTTAATTTTCAATAAATGATTAGTCCACCTTCTAATGAACTAATCTGTATGTAAAATGTATATGATCACTGTCCAAAGAAAAACAAGTATCTCTGTTTATTCTGTTTTTTATTTTTCTAGATCATTTAAGTAAGGCGACATTTACATTGTGTAAACGTTTCGTGATGAATGGACCAATAGAAATTCTCCAAAATAGCTTGGAATAAAATCTCATTACATTAAATTACGCTGTAAGTAAAGAATGTTTTTCTAATCCTGTAAAGCTGCCATTTTGGACAGTGATGACATATATAAAATCAGCTATACCAATAAATAGTTTCACCGGATGAATTTTGAGAGTCAGGGTGGCGGGATAGGCAGTCAGGCAGCCAAATACAGCCAAATTTATCAACCAGTCATTAACAAAAACAGCCACAAATCGGAAGAACCCGAGGCACAATTGGAACGACGGTTAAGAATTACACGAAAACAACACAAGCCACATTAATACAACATCCAACAGGTGTAGGAGATAATGAGGGGACAGACTTGGAGCGTACCAAGCTGGAGATCCAGGAGTCCTGTGACAAATCAAGAGAACAAAGATGAATTTCAGCTACATTGTCATAATTTTATATATTATATATCATTATATCTACCCATTTGTTTTGTCTTAAAAAAAATGCTCTTCAACGCGAGTCGGTCACCTAAAAGAGCCATAAAGAACAACACATCACTAGGAGAAACAGTGGAACAGGCTAATGCCATGTTTACATGTTGGCACTGAAATAAAAAAAAGGATAGTTCTGGGAATTTTTGTGAGACCTTTGAACATGTGCAGCCATATAAACGTTGCCATGGTGATCTAAGGAGAGCTTTTTCGGTGTCTTTTATTCATTTAAGGTGGAAAGTAGCCGTGCAAGAGGATACAAGAACTTTTTGCCCATAACAAACATACATTTTGCAATATTTCCCTCAGCATCTGAGAACTTTTTCCGAGTGATCAGAAATCTATAAGCCCCCCCGTAACCATGTACCTGGTGGGATTGAATGCTCACAATATGCTGACACCATGCTAAAGCTTGCTTGGCATTACACAAATCACAATCATAAGAAATGAGTAACTCATGTTAAAGTATATTACCACAGTTGAATTGGAATGGAATTCCTACCATTGTTCTGTAAAGCGTGTAAAATATAGCAGCTGTAGCTACTAAAGACCATGTTTGTGGGCGAAGCTTGAACAGGTCAGTTAGGTTGTAACCAAAGGTTAAGTCAAGTCAAGTCAAGTCAAGTCACATTCATTTAGATGTGATGGTGTGCACACCAACTTGAACACAGCTTAAACTGAGATGCTGAAAGCTTGATTTGTCCTTCATCACTCCATTGACATTCCTTGTTCCCATGGAGATTAAACACCTCTCAGGGTCACTTTCTCAGATGTTTCATGTGATCAGCGCAGGGAGCTTGAGTGGCCCTTTTTATGCGACTCTCTCTCTCACTCTCTCTCTCTCATGTGATGGAGCTGGTCTGTAGTTCGGGGTCCCTTTCATTCAGATCATGTGTTCTCAAATGTAATTAAGTAAATGACCATTCTTTAAATAGGCTTAACTCTGTCTGGTCCCTTGGACCACATGACCCTTTCAGACAAAGATTATTAGTTGAAAGACACTGACAGAATATTGTTTTTGGGTCAGGGGACTCTTTCAAGCTCTTGTCTAAGATAGAAGAGCACATAATAAGCTCTGTATGATAAGCACAGACCTAGATAACTCCAGCAAACTGTCCTACACAAACTTTAAAGCAGTGGTTCCTAATGGTTAACAGTTTTCTCTGTTAATCTATGTCTAGAGGCTCAGGCTTCTTCCTCATGTGAGTGCATGAGAGACAGTCTATTGCTTGAAGAATGAGAAGCTGAGCAGCTTATTTTTGAAGTAAGAAAACAAGTGTGATGAACAGACAGTTACATGAAGTGGCTTAAGTCTTAGCAGAGGAACTAAAAATGATGCAACAGAAGTAAATTAGAACATAAAGCAATTATAACAGCAAAAAGAAACCCTTTCAGTACTGTAGCTATGTATCTCTATTTTTGTCGTAGTTTATTTTTACATAATTTGAATGTGACAGTTGTGTTTTACATTGTGTCAAAAATTCATGATGAATGGTCCAATAGAAGTGGGACAAAATAGCTTGAAAAATGATTTGTTGCATTAACTTAACATTGAAAGTTAAGAACGTTTTTCATTCTTCTATAAATTAACTTTTTTTGGAGACACAAGGTTTTGCTACAGCAGTGGTGTCATTTCGTATTCCTCCGCTGAAACAGCATTGGCTGTTTGCCGAAGACACAACAAAGTGGTCCTATTTTTCTTTCTCCTTTTTGTTTTTATGTGTACTATAAAACATTAATAGCTTATGACTTGCAGCAATTGGCAAACAAATGTAACCCTGATTGGCCCAGGAGCTTTTTATGGCCCTGTCCTGAATTTAATCTGTGCCTGGACCAGATTATGCATGCAGTCGTTGCCATGGTGATGTATTGGAAAAAGCGATAAAAAGTGACCCACCATCATCCCATGCACAAGCCTGGGGGGCTTTACCCGAAGCCAAGGGGCAGGATGCTCACTGCAATTGGC